CTGATTGTAACTGAAATGACAGAATTAAATACAACTTGGAATAGTCGAAGTTGCAGGTTCATATCCTGCCTCGGACCCTCCCTACCCCTGGAACTGGAGGCAGACACCGCCTTACTCTGAGCTTCAGTTTCCTCATCTGTGAAATGGGAGAGTATAACATTCGCCCCACTTACCTCACTTGGGTAGCAGTAGGAAAAGAGGGATTCTGAGAGATTCTCATTACCACTGCCATCAAACGAACCATCAATTGCATTTTGCCTTCAATTTCACAGAAAAATGCAAAAAATCCGATAGCACTTTGAGTTCCATTTTTCATCAACAAAGAATCCTAAGAGGATTGTACCCAAGCAAATCCACCTACTCCCACAACTTAGGTTCTATAAGAACTGAGAATCCTGCTGATATAATTTAATTTGTCACTTTAAAATTAAAATTGAATTAATTATTTATTAAAATTAAAAGAATTAAAAGAATTCCTTCAGAGAACACTTCATCTAAGGAATCACAAAGGGTTTTTCCCCCCCCTCCAAACACCATCAGGCGCATAGTTTACTCTCTTCCTTATAGAGTTAGAGGTAGCATGGTGGTTATAACAGATAATGTTGAACCCGGAATCAGAAAGACCCAATTTCAAATTCTGCTTCTGACACTAGTGTGACTCTGGGTAACTCATTTAAACCTTTGTCCTCCTCAGTTTCTTTATCTGTAAAATAGGGATAATGTGAGCACTTATCTCTCAAGGTTGTTGTGATGATCTAAGGAGATAATATATGCAAAGAGCTTTGGAAATCTTAAAGCTCTATATAAATGCTAGTTATTGTTATAGGGAGATACTGAGAGGTAGAGTGATAACCAATTAGGGGCAAAGGTAGGGACTGACTCCTTCCCTAAAACGAAAAGTTTCAATGGAATGAAGCTGGAGCTGCATGATGCAGCATCAAATGATTGTGGTTCATCACTAATGCTGGTCTTGGCTGATTTATCAGCAGGGGATGCTGGGTGACTAAGGATCTAGGGAGAGATGTTTTTAAAACCTGCAGCCTTAAAGTGATGCTGCATTTAAATATTCTAACACATCTTAAACCAGCAGAGTACTCAGGAACAACTGAGTTTCAAACCTTACTGGCTGTGTGACCCTGGTTAGGTCACTTAACCTGTCTACCACACTTCCCCCATCTGTAAAATGGGGATAACAATACTACCTATCTCCCAAGGTTGTTATGAGGATTAAACAAGATGTTTGTAAAGTGCTTTGCAGATCTTCAAGTCCTACATAGATACTACCTATCACTATAGCAGACAGAGTGCTGCACTTGGGAGTTACTAAGACCAGGCTTTGGATCCCACCTTGGACATTTATCAGTTGCATGACTCTGGAAGAATTGCTTAATCTGTTTTCAGTCTCCTCATCTGTAAAATGGAAATAATGCAAATAGCACCTAACTCCCTAGATTGCTGTGAGGACCAAAAGACATAGAATATATAAAGAGCTTTGCAAATCTTCAAGCTTGGAAGTTTTGTTGTGTAACATTCTATAAAATACTGCTCACCCAAGAACTTCTCATAGTTGGGTGAGAATCATCTCAATCATCCTCACCAAGCCCTTGGCCATGAGGACTGGTGGCAAATACCCCAAGTCTATGCTTTTATTCATACTGTTACTTGTATCTGGAAGGTCTCCCCTTTGAATTTCTATCAAACTTTTAAAGCTCAACTCAAATGTCATATCCTCCAAAAAACTGCCTGGGATCATTCCGATGGGTAATGACCTTCTCTGGCCTCCAGAGGACACTTTGTTTTTGTGTTTCTATAACTGTTCCTATTGTTGTATGACATGGTTATCTGTGTTTGTGCTCTACCTTCCCGCAATGCTCTGAGTTCCACGATTACAAAGATTCAAGTGTTTCTCTGCATACAGTAGGGACTTAAAATCTATGCTCTGCATCGAGTAGGGACTTAATAAAATATTTACTGGATTGAAAATATATCAGGAACCTAGGAACAAAGAAATTAAAAGTGGTTGCAAACTACATTAGTATGTAGGTTACCAAATTGAAATCTGAGGGAAAGATGGGATTTTTTCCTTCAGTCAGTCATAGGCATGCACCCTTCTTAAAAAAGGAAGCAGCAAGAGGTACCTTTCGTCTTTGCCGTTTTCACTTGTGGCTGTTTGAGCACGGCCCTGGGGAGTCTGTGATGAGTACTACTACCTGAAGGAACCTACTGAATTACCGGCTACCTGAACAAATATACCAAAGCATCTCATCCTCAAGCCCGAAGGCCAAAAATGGCAGCTGCTCCCTCCTAGGCTTGCTCCTACTAATAAGCATTTTTCCAACCACCTGAAACCTCCCCATTTGACATCTGCCTACATGTAAATGTGGCTCTCTGACATACTTCATGCATGGGCTCCCAGGAAATGGAACTCCAGAGTTAAAATTCAGTAAACCCCAGAGGGTTCCTATTACCTCCAGGACCAAATATCAACTACTGGGTTTGGCCTTTAAAACTCATCATAACCTGGTCCCTTCCTTCCTTTACAATCTTCTTACACCTTATTCCCCTTCCACATAGTTTGACTGAAAAGACACTGGCCTACTTGGCACTCTGAGCATTTGCGTTCCCCACCAAAGGAACCCTCTCCCCTCCCGATCTCTGTCTCCTGGCTTCAGGAAAGTCCTATCTTCTGCAAGAAGTCTTTCCCAAATCACCTCAATGCCATTGCCTTCCCTCTGCTGACCATCTCCAATTCATCCTGTATATCTCTTATTTGTACATACTTGTATGTTGTCCTCCCTTGTTAAACTGGGAGCTGAAAGCAGGAACTGGAATTTTTTTTTTTTTGGTGTTTCTTTGTCTCTCTAGGGCCTACCACAATAACTGGCACACAGTAGGTGCTTAATAAATGCTTAATAAAATGGCAAAGATGGCCCTAACTGAAAAGGGATCCCGGAATCACAGAATGTCAGAGCTGAAAAGGATCATCTCGTCCTAGTTGGAGACTGTCCGGTCCAGGGGCTCTTAATCTTTTGTGTATGTGTGTCACTAGATGTTTTGGGCGGTCTGATCCCTTCTCAGAATAATGTTTGTAAATAATTGAATAAAATGCTAAATTTCAGTTGGGTTAATGAAAATAAAAATGTCATTTCCCACCCCCCACTAAAATTTATCCATGAAGCAAGGGGTCTTAGAATCCTAGGCTAAGAACTCTGATCTAAACCAACCCCCCTCATTTGATGGGTGCATAAACTGCAAAGGACCCTGATCTGAATTAAAATGAAAGAGTCTATGTTAAAGATCCACATGGTGCCTCAAGGAAAAAAAAAAAAAGACATCAGCTGCCCACACCATCTATAACAGTATTCTTTGGATTGATACATATATCCACACACAGGCCAACACACGAATAGTAAATACATGTTTTATATAGACACGCACATACAAAGAACCACATCTGTAAGGTTTAGAAGGTATGAAATGTACGGTACAAGGAGGTACTTGTTTTAAAGAGATACCATAATGCATTTTCAAAGAGTCAGGAAGTGAAAAAAAAAATGGCAAGCAGAACCTTGAATCAGAGGTAGCCTTACAACAGAGAGATTGAATATAGGGGATGTTAGAGGAAAACAAAGCAAGAGAGGGAGCTGGGAAACACAAAATTCAGTTGTACTCAGTCCTACTGGGTCTTTAAATGAGTTTGAAGTATCTCCTTTTGTTAATACTCCAGGTTGTAGCTCATTGGCTGAAAATGCCTACAGCCTCAAGCTCTAATACTTCTGAGAAGTCACAGATAAGATAGGAACCTACCCTCTTGGCAGATAACTCCCCACCCCCCTACTCCTTCAGAAAAAAAAAATGGGTATACACACCTGTTCATAGCTACATTATTTCAAGATAAGTACTTGTTGAAACAAAGGAAGAATAATGCCATGGGGACTGACTAGTAACGGAGACCTAGGTTACATCATAACTGATCTGCTCCAATTAAAATGCCCAGGAATTTTTTTTTTCTTTCCTCTCAGCTCCTTACAACCAGGAGGAAAGGCAGAATTCAGAAAAACAAAAGATCAGCTCACACTTTCACATACTTTCTTCTCTATTGGTCCTGTCTGTGTTGGGAGTGTGAGGGGCAGGAGAGAGAGAGAGGCCTTTCTGTAGCTTCCTTGACTATACTTTTGCTCAAGGCAAAAAAACAAAAAAATAAAAAAGGCCTATTTTAAAACAAGTAGCTTCCCAATTCTGTTCCCCTTCCCCATGTGGGGCAGTCACTTAGTTTTTCTGATCCATTGGTCTTATAATTCTACTTCACTGAAGTCTTCAAGCTTCAGAGGTAGGCAGTCCCATAGATCTGAGACCCACCCACCCAGGATGAAAGACTCATTCTCTCTAAAGCTTCTAACCCTTATGGCAAAACTCTATTTCAGAAGTATTAGGGGTGAGGCAGGGAAGGAACAGGGAGGATGGAAGGCGTGGAATGGAATATCTGAGTTGAAGGGAAAGGAGGATGGGAAGAGCCGGGAAAAGCTAAACAATCTTCCTGAGTTCACTGTTAAGAGCAAAGCAAGCTTTATTCGCTAGCTAAGATGATAGCCAGTGATACAACCTGGGGAGAAAAGATTCTCCCCAGTGATGAAACAGGCTGCTCTTACTCATCAAGGCCTGTGTGGGAAGTTAAGAGACCAAAGTGAAACCTGCACGTTTCACTGAATGTTCCCGCTCCCCATTCTCTGCGGTGAGTCCAGTCCCTAGAATGAGCTCACCCAACACCTCTAACAACTGACACCTTTCTGAGGAGTCACTCTATACGAAACCGCTGTCACATTCTCTTCCTAGGTCTGTCCTTGTTCCATCCTGGCCAAGGACACGGCACGGCCCCATCTGCCGAGGCCACTATTTCAACACGACCATTTCGGGCATTCTCAGCTGCCCCTCTGGGTCTCAGCTCATAGTTCCTTCCATACTGAAAACTCTTCATACATTTCTTTTAAAACTTTTATTCAATAATATATAGTTTTTTAATTATAATATATAACTGTCCATCATGCCATATATTTCCCCCCATTTCCCCACTGTGGAGTTTGTGGCCAGCTAGTTAATACAGTTTGCTGGGGAAGAGGGGGGGACCACAGAACCAAAGGTCAACGGGTTGAGGTGGGGACATAGGAAGTGGGGGAATAACATTAACCAATAACCATTTTGCATACCCTTCACATTTTCCATGCTTTCTGGGTCAGAAGGAAGTCAACAGGAAGTCAAAGGCGGATGAACCTTTTACATTCATAAGTAAGGTTTGTTTTACAGACTGTTGGTTGCCATTCAGCTGGTGTGATTCCTGCTCTCGTAACCTGTCACGTAACGTGTCTGGCCGCTGCACGTGGTCTGTGTACGCACGTTTTTAAGACGTTTGATTTGGTTCTTGTTCTGCTTATGGAAGAGTGGGAGAAACAGCATCAGACCTGGGGAGAGACAGGAAGAGGGAAGAGATGAGGTTAATGAGGCTCGTCAAGCTTAGAGGGTGTGCCTCCACCGTCATCTGGGCTAGCTGGCTGACAGGATGCCCACTTTGTACTCAGCTCCAAGTGCCGGCGAAAGAGCCAACTGGTCATTTTCTTGAATGAGTGCAGGATTACTCTAGGTTTTCTGCTAGTCCTCTTTCCCCCTTCCCACCTTGCTTCTCAATAGCAAGCTCTGTGCCAGCATTCCCATCAATCGAATGGGGTCCAGTGACTCGATGCCGTACTACGGACTGACCGACGTGCTTCTCCGTACCTGTTAACCATGAGCTAGTCTTCCCCAGATTCTAGAGGCTATATTGGGGGTTCCACAACCCCTCTACCATCATGGGAAGCTTGGTAACATCCACAGCCAAACTCTGGAGCCCCTCTCTTTAAGACTAGGAATCCCCAGAGGAAGAAATGTCTAAGTCTCCTTTCAGCTGTGATAATGAAGTCTGACTATGGCTGCTTCCTATTCTACTTTGTCCGGGGGGGGGGGGGGGGGAGGGGGGGGGGGCTGGAGGACGGAATTTTGTTTTGAGGTCCAAGAAGTTATAAGAGATATGTTTCCCCTCCTCCCCACTTTGCACTCCATTGTAAAGTTGTAGGGACAGCAACATACCAAAAAGAAAATCTTGAAAGCTGTCTACATAACTCAACTAAAGCACTGGAGAAGGCCACCCTGGAAGTCGGTGTATACAGTAAATTCATTTTTGTAAAAACCTTATTTTTAGGATAAAAATGTTTCGTCTCTACTCAGGTATTGGCGAATCTACAAAAGCATGGGTGTGGAATCTGAGGAAAAACAATTAAGCCTCACTAATACTTCAGTATGTGGGAGGGTAGGGAGAATAACCCTAAACAGATCTTTGTCTTGGGATTTTTTCCTTATGAGGGCTGGATAGAATGTATGCAAGAAAGAGGATATGTAAGAAACTCAAGGAAGCTGAATTTTCAGGATTCCAAGTTTGAAAGGGAAAATCATCTTCTGAGAATTATGCATATGGTTCAACTTAAAAATGAAAAGCAAAAACTTACTGCCAACCAGAATTCTATAAAAGCAGCATTTTAGTCCATCTATGTCACCCAAAAGTGAGCAACAGAATAAGACACTCGAGTTGAAGAGTCGGGGCCTGCCTGAGTATTTCTTTCAAGTGATGCTGTCTATAGCAAAAGGGCAGCTCCTGACAGGATACCCCTCCAACTCTTTAAATCATGGGAATCAAATGCAAACACCATGTACACAATCTTAGAGTAAAACTCAAGGAATGGGAAATGCAAGAGTTAAGGTTCTCATAGCAACCAGCAGCCAAGTCTCCCCACATCAAAGATTTGGTTGTTAAATTTTTTATTTATGAAAACAGGCTTGATTGAACATGGCATTTTTCTCCCCTCTTCTCTAAGGGCAGAAGTAGCAGCACAGATCATACAAGTGATATGTGAACATCAGATCTTAAGGAGTCATTTGTCTTAACTAGTTCACAGCTTGGGCGTGATTTTTCAGTCAGTAGATGGTCGGCATCCTAGTTCTTGATGGCTTATCCGTGCTTTTCCGGGTGGGCTTCACAATTTGTCCCAAAGTCTTAAGCACCATTTTCAGCCAAGATGGCCAGCAGGAAAAAAAACTGCCAATTTGTTGGTACTGTAAAAGACCGCTTAAAAAAAAAATCCCTACTCAATTCATTTAGGGGTTAAGGGTCACATTTGTAGAGCACTTTATTATGGCCTGCTATTTCTTTCCCCAAGTGCATGCTTATATATTCCTACTGAGGTGTGGTTCCACTTTCCAGGATATGGGGGTTTTAATTTCTTTAAGAAAACCATATAGTTAATAACCACATTTAGTCTAGCAACTATTGGAGACTATACAGTGCTACATTTCCACACTTCTACTTCCTTTCTCCCACAGGTGGTTACTTTTTTTTTCAGTTTCTAATAATTTACCAAATTCACGGTGGAACCTCTCTCTGCAGCTCTGAGGTTAGGCTGTAACATTTTTAATGGTGAGTGGGGTTTGTTTCCAATGGCCTCTAGCCTTTTAAAGCTGTTAGCCATTTTTATGGGCAGGAGGGGTTGCATACTCACAAAAGGTATCCCAGGTTTCTGCCCCTAAACATACGTTTCATCAGACCTGGCAACAAGTCATATTAACTGGGATCATTTGGGTTTTCCTGATGAGTCTATTTTAAATCTCCCACCCCCAGGCCCCCAGAAGATGCCCATGTCATGCCCCTCCATGGCTTGGCACCAGCACCCCCAGGTTTCCACCCCACCCTCATTACCTGAATAAGCACACCTTTCAGACACCTGTGAGAGACCTCTTCAGTCTGTTTATGGGGTCAGTACCATCCTAGACTCTATTACTTCACTCACTTGGGTTCTAAAAGGATGACACTCTATCTTTGGTTCATACTTCCAGAAAGCTCATCCTGACACTTATCCCAAGCCTGCCTTCTTGAAGAGTATTTCCTGGCATCCCTCTCCTCCCCTTACAGCCTGTTTCTTCACTTGCTTGGTCTGTAGCACATAGAATTCTTTTAATTCACACTTCCCCCAACCCTCCTTTGCCCTGACACCACCATGCAGGACCTCTGCCTAAGGTCCCCATGTTTCCTTAGTTCCTCTCCAAACACAGCATTCCAGAATGGTCCAGGTCCAATGGCCCAGCTGCATATCAAGGCCACTTTTATGGCTCGAAAAGCACTCAATTTACATAGGTTAATTCATCTGATCCTCACAACAACCCTGTGAGGTAGGTGCCATTACCGCCATTTTACAGATGAGGAAACTGAAGGGGTAAAAGGGCTTATCCAGAGTCACACAGTTAGGAAGTGACTGAGGTAGGGTTCTCAAATTCAGATCTTCCTGACTCCTAGCCAATGCTCAGCAGTAAAATCACTCGAACCAAGCGTATTATTATTACCTTGCTCAAGACCCTTCCCCTTCCCAGGTCTCAACGTCCTCCTCCTCTGTAAAAGCAGGGGTCATTCTAGATGGTCTCTGACAACCCTTCCAGCTCTACAGCCAGGATCCTATTACTAGGCAAAACTCTTGCCCCGGGCCTCGAAGTATCTTCGGCACAGAACACTGTGGCTAGGACACTCAGCTGAAGGACCAGATGTTTCTGAAATGACTAACAGGGAGGAACAAAGGAAGAGGTTTGGACTGTCTTCTCAAACTGTGCTGCTTAATTCTCTTCCACTCTAATGACCAACCACCAGGGCAGGAACAAAGGTGAGGATGGGTCTATCTCAGGGCAAGGCCTCGAGGCCAAATGTGGCCCTCGAGGTCCTCAAGTGTGGCCCCTTGCCTGCATCCAGACTTCACAGAACAAATCCCCTTAATAAAAGGATTTGTTCTGTAAAACTTGGCTTCAGTCAAGGGGCTACACCTGAGGACCTAAAGGGCCACACGTGGCCTCGAGGCTGCAGGTTCCCCACCCCTGGCTCTAACTATTACTGTCAAATTCCAGGGCAGGACACCTTTCCGTGACTAAGGCTAATGGAGACCAGAGGAGAAATATCACAAAGTACTTCAGTAAGTCTTATGGTTACTTAGCAGCTCCAGAAACTTTTGAATAAAAATATTGCTTTGAAATCATGCTTGTTAATTGCTGATAAACCATCACCTATATTAAATCCCACCCAAATGGGCTTAGGAATTCGGGCAGTACCTGAGATAGCAGTGAAACACTAGCTTAACAGCAGCACTGCTCTGTTCTCTCCATGCTCCTCTGCCTTTCCTTAGGAAAGTTTAGATATAGCTCATTACCAAAGGCACTTTGCTTCTGTTCCTATTTATTAGAAAGAATTTCAAATTAAAATGACTGGGAGGTGATCTAGTCCAAGAATCACCACTGGTTTTTTCTAAGATAAGGCAATCAATTACAATACATACAGAGTAATAAATATCCTCTGGGGCATCTATGATTCATCTTACCCCACATGAAATTTAGTGCTTCAGCAGCTAAGGGGAATTAGCTACTCCAGACAAAAACTGTTTTGAGGCAGAGGTATGTAAATATCCAGATTATATTGACTCTGCTGCAAAACAACCACACTGTAAAAGAAAGAAGTCGAGACATGCAGATGGTGCCTGCTGGGAAACTGCTTCAACAAGAAGGTAAAGGTGGACAACTAATAAGGTTTCTCTATGCTCTTTTGAATGAGGATCTAGTCCTGTGTCAAAGCAGAGGTTAAAAATGCCATGGACAGGCCAATGAAGTGGGACTGCAGATACTCAGGAATGAGTCAAGGCAAGGGAAGCACAGGGAGATCAATCAGGTGACTTTTCTTATGAATATGCTTCTGTTGCTTTGGGGAGGAAATAGGGAAAAGGAAAGAAATGTGCCAGTACTGCTTCAGGACTTGCCTAGGACCCCTCCACCCCCATCCTAGGGGCGAGTTCTGCAGGGTCCCAGAGGACGCGATGTCTGGGGCAACGGGGAGGAGCAGAAAAAGAAAGAAATAACAACCCATTTCCCTTAGAGCAGCCCTTCCTGGCTATGGCTCTGGCTCTGGAACTGCCCTCTAGGAAAGGCATACGGGCAGACAACCGGAAACCGTTTTGTCGTCTGACATATGGAGAGATGATATACTTCTTTAATTTTTATTTTCAGGTAGAGTGTGACATATAGGTCAATATGCAGGAGAGGCAATGTAGGCCTGAGAGTGGTGGTATGAGAACCTTATCCTTTTGCATTTCCTGGCTCTGGAATTTGTTTCCTCATCTGCAAATTCAACTTAAAATGGAGTTTGTGTTTAGGTTTTTTGTTTTTGTTTTTTGCATTTTAAATTCCCACAAACCAGAAGACAAAATAGAATTTACATTTATACATAGGACCTGCTACCAATACCAATATGACTTTATTGGAATATGGAATGTAAACAGATGTTTCAAACAAACAATCTAACCTTATATAAAAAAGTATGGCATTATTAAATAGTTAATAAAGAAATCCTACAGGGTGGTAGACACCTCTAGTTCTAGCCCAAATATGTAAAGTCTCCACTGTTGCCAGATAGTTATTCCAGCAGAGACCTCCAAGAGGCAGCTGCGATTGACAGGCCCAACCCATGTTGAACAGTGCTGGTGAGAAGTTTCAAGGGCAGGCCCATAAAATAAATCACAGCCCTATAGCTCAAAAATCTAGCTTACTCTGCTAACACACATGGATTAGCATCCTGGATTCAAATCTGTTCACACCTGCTCCAATGGTGCCACTCCTTTCCTTAACTGAAGTCCTATGTCCCCATCCCCATGCCCCACCCCAATCTCTTCCTCAGTAACCGAGGTTATTTCAGAGCCTTTCCAACACTACTCCAGATTCTTGACACATGAATGATATTTATCTCATCCAAGTAGAATACTGTAGGTTTACACATCTAATACGTCAGAACTTGAAAGAATACATTCCTCTGATTTCCATGAGAAGTCATTTCTTTCACAGGGGGAAAGGAGGAAAAGATGAAGAAAGATTCCCTACTGATACTCTGCCCAAAGTCTTTTCTGAATGAACTAAGGTGGCACACTCTTCTCTTTCCTTTTATAAACCAGAGGGTGGCCACCAGTTTTAACCCAGCTACCCCAATTAAGAGGCACTGACTTTCTTTGCTCCATAGTGCTGGCTGTAAACAATAAGCAATATGTACATGGAGAGTCTGGGGCAAGGAAATCCTGTGAGATTCTGCCATCACTGACACAGAAAAGGCTAGGCCAGGAAAAAAAACCCACCGTCTTACAAGCATACAAACCAGCACTGGCTGCAGCGAGCTTTGGGGCACACACGCTTACACACATAACTTCTTTACAAGAACAATTGCCCTGGGCAGTGACATCAAGAGACTGAAAGTGATGACAGATGACACCCAAGAGGATTGTTTTACAGCAAAGATCTCAGTCATTTGCAAATTCTTGGAGACTTAAAGGAAAACTGCAGTGATGAGGGACAGTCCCTAGAGAGCTCAGGCCATTAAGAAAATGTGTAAAACATGAATTTGTAAAAGAGCTTAAAAAAAAAAAGGAAACAAAGAAATACTGTCACTTTTCCTATCTCCTTTGGGTCAGCAGCAGCTGACATTCTGCTCAAACCTGAGCCTGCATCTCGACAAAGGAAACCAGAACCACAATGGAATAGATAGGAAGTCAGACAGTCAGAGTTTGTTGGCCGGGCTGGTCAACTGAACAGTGGTTTCCTGTTAAATGAAAATTACACCACAACAACTCTGAGTTTCTCATCTCCCATTCATTCCAAAGGAAAGAGGCCTTTCCCTAGATCTTAAAGTATGCCAGACTATTGGCTATTCCCTTTTTACCGGGAATTCTCTTTTTTTGATAAACTAAAAAAAAAAAATTCTTAACTCTTCTTCGCATTTAGAAGCAATGATCAGAATTTCTCATATCACACTGTAGTTTTCCTTCAATTTTTTTTTTGGTTGGATGTTTTATTGGTTATCATCAATCTTGAATTACCCGTCGTTTTCCAGTCTTCATCGTGCTGCTGTGAGACCACTGGAGAGCACAGAATTTTCTGAGCTTGGCTGGGACTGCTCCTTCACCACAGGGTCTACAAAAGAGTAAGACTAATGTCAGCCAGGAAGGAAACATGAAATAGGTGGACAGGGCCTCTTAGGTCACTTTCCCATTTCAAATACTAAGAGATCCAGAAAGATGGAAAAAACTAGGGTCAACAAGCAAAAAGTTACGAATGTGGTGGTGAAGAATAAATACTACTCAAAAGAAAAAAGAAAATTTCACAAAACAGGTTGCTAAAATTACTCCTACAATCAATTAAAAAAATTCAATTTTATTTTCAGGTACACATTATTCTCTCTCCTACCTCCCCCACCCTCTCATCCCCTGACACATGTAGTTAGGCAAAACAAATCCCTGCACTGGCCATGTCCAGTCTGCACTGAGTCCTTCAGATCTTTCTCAGGAGGTGGACATCCCACTTCACCACAAGGCCTCTAGAATTGTGGCTGGTCATTGTACTGATCGGAGTTCCTGAGTCTTTCAACATTTTTGTCTTTACAATACTGTTACTGTATAAGTTATTCTCCTGATTCTGTTCACTTTGTTCTGCATTGATTCATAAAAGTCTTTTCAGGTTTTTCTGAAACCACCCCCTTCACCATTTCCTACAGCACCTCACCATTCCATCGCATTCATATGATCTAAATTGTTCAGTCATTCCTGCAATCAGTTTTTGATCTGATGCTAATATTTCCCAGAGCTGCTGAGACCTCTGACTATAAACTCCTACAAAAAGGTGAAGGAAACCCTGGCTCCTCTTCTAAGGCTAAGATCTCACGACTGACAATTTGCTGTTAATACTGTTTACTAGCCAGTAATAATCGCTGACCTATAGATGTGACTTTAAGCTGTGCAAAGTGTTTTAAATGTACTTTCTCCTTTGATCTTCACAGAAGTACTAGGAGCTGGGTACTACAGGCTTGATGCCTGTGTGAAAAAAAAAGGAAAGGAAGATCAGAGATGTTAAGCTATTTGCCCACATCAAGAAAGCAATGCCAGAGGCAGGAGCCCCCCAGCCTAGGTCATGCCCCTACTACACAATGCTCAGACAGCCTATGGCACAAAGGCCAAGCAGAAGACTGACAACTCAAAGTGGCCGGCAGCTTCAATCTCAATTTACAGAGTGAACATAGACACAGTTAGCTTCCCTAGGCCCTGAGCTCTTCACCTACCATCAAGCAGCAATCTTAATCACAGAAAGGATAGTTAAGATTATTTAGCACATCTCAAAAGTTCAAATGACTGTAAAAATTCTCAACAGTGAAGCCTCCATCTAAACTGCACATGCCTGAATATTAAAGGCACAGTAAGAATTTAGGCCAGTAAGAATTTTATTTGCTTTCTTTTCTGCAAACACTTTTAATTTCCTTCTTTCATAAGTGATTTATCCCACTCTGAAATACACACTGTCTTTATCTCTTTTATGTGAATATTTTTATATACTTTTTGTTAAGCCCTGATCCCATGTCTTTGGGCCAACATTAACTGCTTTCCATAGCTTTTAAGTTAACAGCACACAGGCATCTAATTCTAGCCAAACGACATTATCCAGTTCTGCAAACAGCCCCCTTTCTTCAAGGGGAAGCAGGCACCTTACAGACCTCATTAGTGTGAGACAGATGGGACGGGCTGATGATGGTTTTCAAGGACAGTCTAACCAAAGCTTCCACAATTCGTCAATCAATTGATCTCTATCTCTACACAGACTACAGACTGATCTCTGCACTTACAGAAATAAGGGTGTTCCATGGCCTCTTTGGCGGTCAGCCTTTGTTGATGGTCATAGCGCAGAAGCTTGTCCAGAAGGTCCAAGGCCTCGGGACTGACGAGATGTCTATTCTCACTATGGATGAAGTTTTCCCAGCGTTTTCGAGAGTGTCTGAAGGATGAATGAAGCCTTAATGTCTGAACCTAAACAACTCTCAACTAGGGCTATGACTATATTAAAATAACGGCCTCTTTCATTAATTAAACCTTCCAAATTTGATTCAGAGCTTTTCTTCTATACTCAAAACCATTTTTTCCTAAGTCTTCATTCAGTTTTGTGACAGAGCAATATAAGTAAATCCACCCTGATTATGACTTTTAGATGTTCCCTGGCATCTCAGGGGTTCCTTCATAGAAGCGCTATGCAACACCTGGAAACTTAGTGAAGCTTTAAAATTAGATCATTTTCTAAACCATCACGTTGTATTAAATCTACTACACAAAGTGTGAGTGACTTTACAATCACTCTTTAATATTCAGCAAAGCTTTATTCCTGAAAAAAGCCTGTCCTTCCCCTCATTTTTCTCTTTTCTACAGTTTCTTTGTTTAATTCTACAGGGTTTGCTCAGAATTATTAACAATGACTAATCATTTTTCCCATATGAATCTGCTTTTGAATTAACAAAGGCATTCATATTGTATGGAGAAACAGTTCTGATTTCCAGACAGAAGTAAATGACATTTGCATGTTTTACCATGAGAAACTAAAATTTTCAGTTTTAATTTCAATATAACTGTAAAACCGAAAGAAGCAGTTTTAAAGATGCATTTTCAAGGACTGTGTCATCTCCCTCTGAAATAAGATGAACTACAAAGCCCTCCCACTCTCTTACTTACTGCCCCAGGATATCGTTGAAATGTGGGTCCAGGTCTATGTGGTACTTCTTCAGATATCCATATAACTCATCTGTACCAAGGACTTTGGCAATTCGGACAAGCTGAAACACAACACAGATTTAACAAAACCACCATACAGCAAATTCCCTGCCAGCTTTCAAGAAGTTGTATTAGGAGAACTGCCACAAGGATTGATATGTCTCTGCCAAATTAAATCAATATCATCAACTACACTGAGAATGAATTTGGTATCCAAGCTTCCCAGCGTGCTACCCATTATTATTCATTTTAACTGAGTAAACATTACACACCATGAGGTGACGAGAGCCTACGCGAGAGTTGGGGAGATGCCGCAGAGGTGAATCAACAGGCCCTGACAACAGCTTGATTGTGGGGGGTGAGAGAGAGCGAGGAGTCCAGGATGACTCCGGGGTTGTGAGCCTGGGGGAGTGGGAAGATGGTGCTGCCCTCAACAGTAATAGGGAAGGTAGGAGAAAGGGGAGGAACTGGAGGAAATATAGTGAGTTCTGTTCTGGAAATACTGAGTCTGGGATGTAGACATCCCATGTGAGGTGTCTGGAAGGCAACTGAAGATGCAAGATTGGAGATCAGCAGAGAGACTGGGGCAGGAAAGGTAGATCTGAGAATCATCAGCATAGAGATGGTCATTAAATCTATGGGAGCTGATGAGATCCCCAAGGGAAACGTATAGAGGAAGAAGAGAAGAGGGCCCAGAACGGAGCCCTGAGGGACACCTACGGTTAGAGGGTATGATCTGGATGAGGATCCAGCAAAGGAGACTGAGCAAAGGCTGTGAGGTACGAGAAAAATCGGGAGACAGTACTGTCCTGAAAACCGAGAGAGAAGAGAGTATCAAGGAGGACAGGGTGATCAACAGCGTCAAAAGCGGCAGAGAGGTCAGGGAAAATGAGGATACAGAAAAGACCACTGGATTTGGCAACTCAGAGATCCAGGGTAACTCTGGAGAGCAGTGGAATGATGAGGTCAGAAGCCAGATTGTAAGGGCTTAAGAAGAGAATGTGGAGAAAGGACTACCACAGTCTACCATTGTAGCCTATGAATAACTGTGAGCTGTTACTGAAACGAGACTGGAAAAGTAAGCTGGAGGCTGATTGCAAAGGGCCTTCCTCCTAAAGTCAGATGCTTCTTCATGCTTTCTCTGGCAGAGTGGGGAGCCTTTGTAAACATTCTGAGAAGTGACAGGACACTTATCAATGATGGCATTAATGCCATATCACATTTACACAATGAGTCCCAGCTCTCAGAGATCTGACCCTCCCACGCCTGACAGTTCTGCAGCAGGGGTGCCAAAACTGCAATATGGCCTGCTCAAAGTCCTTGGGCTTCCCAGCAGCACAGAGTCAGGGGCCAGACCTGCAGCCTCTGCCACACTCCCTCTCTAATTCAGGGAGCAGGGGGGTGGAGAGGCCCCTGACTCTTCCAGGGACGCAGACAACACGATTCAGTGACCAGTGGACAGAATGCTGGGCTCTCTACCACTAAGCCCAAGGAACTACCCTAGCCATCCCCCCACCCCACTGTGACGGCACAGGCAGCTGGGGGGGAATCAGAGACTTCTCAAAGGCCAGGTTTAATCTGGCCCTGCTCTTCTTGAGCTGGGACCAAGAGCAATTCAGGTAATGTCTCAGAACCACAGGTTTCCCCTCTGGGGCCATCTGAGCTGAGGACTGCAGAGTATAACAGAGGGGGCCAGCCTGTGGTGCCCGTGAGACACACTAGCTGGGGGATGAGCACGTCCCTCAGTCTCCTCCCCCCAGGAGCCAGGCAGCTCTCCAAGACTGGCAGAGCACAGAGGTCTGACGGCGCCTCCTCACCTGGTCGTAGTTGTCTTGGCCATGGAAGAAGGGCTCCTTTCGGAAGATCATGCTGGCCAGCATACAGCCTAAGCTCCACATGTCCAGACTGTAGTCATACATCTGAGGAGACCAGGAAGGCCACAGTGAGGCAGGCTGGCAGGAGCCCAATCCCCCAGCCCAGCTCTCCCAGCCTTCACTGGGACGGCCCACTTGGAAAAAAAACTTTAGAAACAAAGGCTATCGCTAACCCTTCCCAAATGAGCCCAAACAAACAACTGGGTGGTTTTACCTGGTAGTCCACAAGGAGCTCTGGCCCTTTGAAGTACCTAGAGGCCACACGCACATTATACTCCTGAGCAGGATGGTAAAATTCTGCCAGCCCCCAGTCTATCAGTCGAAGCTAAAGACAATACAAAAACAGAAATGCATCAAGAATGTTTTTAGATTTCTGCCCTTTAAGACAATGGCCCAACATATTGGAATAGGCCACATTTTCTAACCATTTTAAATTTCTTTATAGTGTTCTACTTAAAACGATATTAACTTTTATCAGTTAGATGGTCATACTTCCAGTGCAAAGGTCTTGAGATCTGCTCTTTCCAGGTTTTTTAAAGTTTGCGAGCTTCTCATCTCCTGAGATTGTCCACAGGCGAATACTGGACAACCAATTCACTTCCTGTTGACATCCCCATCCCACAGATGGCTAGGATGATGACCAGAGTTTAGAAAAGCCTAACAAGAACTCTGACTTGGCCCGAAGGCCTTGGGGACCCGACACAAACCCATGGCTGTGACCGACAACAGGCTGAGGAATTCCAATCTGGGCTGAAGCCTGCACCCTCCTGGGGTCTGAAGCAGTGACTTGGAAACCAGCGTTTGGAGGGGAGGAAAGAACAGCAACATGGCACACAGCCAGCACCAGAGTTTCAGTCTGCTTTCAAGCATGAATGTGTTACCTTTTTCTGTTGGTGATCTATCATAACGTTGTGAGGTTTGACATCTCTGTGCATGATTCCCATGCTGTGACAGTAATCCAGGGCCTAGTCAACAGAGAACACAGACAGAGGAGAGACGATGACGTACGGGACCCTCATGATCTGGCCCCGGCCTCTCCACCTCACCCTTGGACACCCCGGCCTAAGTAAAGGGAACCCAGGGCAGAGGACCATAACAAATGATGATCAGCTGAGAACAAAGATGTCCTCTCACGTAAGATGAAGTAGAAAATATTAACTTACACTACTCAGAAGCCACATTCTTGTTAGGTGAGAGCGAAACTTGCCCTCCTCGAAGGGCAAGGAGGAGAGGAAAAGCAACTCTAACCTCATGGAGAATTTTTAGGACTGAATGATGTTCCCCAAACATCGACAGAGTCAAAGAAACCAGAGACCAGGTTCAGAGACTTGCCCAAGGTCACTGAGGCACTGAGCAGTCAAGCACTCATCTCTAGTCTCAAAGGACAATTCAAAATGCCAAACTGTCAGAAGCTGAGGAAAGTTATCAGGGAAGAAAGCAAAGCGGGGTGGCTTCCCCTGCTTGCACTGAGATCCCTTTTGCAACAGTCATACTCAGCCCCGTTCCACAAAGCTTTCTACCTACTCAGTTCCCCATACATTGTTTTTAAGCAAGAATCCATTTGTTTAGCTGAGTTACTCTTTTGTAAACAGTGATCCGTCCCTAGTTACAGTTCAAATAGCCAGTCACGTGTGCAAGGTCATGAGAATGGGAAGTAATGGCAGCCAAAGCATCTTTCTTAGCTATGCCTTTAGGTGTCCCATGTAGGATTGCAGCCCAACATTCTGAGAATTATTACTGGCTTCCTATGACCACCCCTGGAGGAGAAAGGGCTCAAGACATTTTAAGTCTATTGCCCTATAAAGGGAAAAGTGCTCCTGTAGAAATTGTGTTCTGAGGAGATGGTGAAAAATAGAAAAACCTTAAAATTAAGGTCCCTTTAACCTATTGAAAAGAGACACCAAACATGGACATAACAGAGACTATGGACATAGAAGCACTTGAGTTTTTGACAGTGCCCAGATAACTGTGTTGATGAAAAGTATTCTGAGCTCTCTCAGCCGGAGCCGTCTTGTTTCTCATCTGCAGAAACCCTGCCTCCCGCTCCCCACCGTGGGCAGAGCACCCTGGGCTCAGCGAGACAGTGGGGACAGAGGGCACTGCAGTACAGGTGCAGAAACCTCTAGGAGCTCCAGGCTATCACTGTGAAGACCACGCTGCCTAGAACGAAGTCCTCTGAAGAGATGACACTTTGCACTGGAGAAGTGTTACTTCAGTGAGATTCTAATGTTTTGCTCAAAATACCTTATGAAATCGAGACTCCTATGGAAAGGATTCTGGATTTCAATCAGGAGCTCATACCAGAACATGAAACCAACTCTCAATGAAATACTAAGCAATCATTGTTTCAGGTTTTCCTCATCTGCATAACCGAGCAGCCTTCCTTATTCCCACTCTTCACCCCATGACTTTCCTCACTGAGATGCTGTACAGATGGACATTATGTTTTATTACTTATGTTAACATGGGCTGGTTTTGTTATTAGCCAGCGTTTGCCAAAAAAAAAGGGGGGGATTAGGAACAAGTAGGGCTGGGATTTAAGAACTGCTTTGCAAAAGTAACAAATGAATTAACAAAATAAACGTATCAGTACTTAATGCCTTTAAATCAATAACTTCACTACAGTCCTCTGTCCCAGTTACTGACCACTAAGAGTGCAAACATGGGTCTGCTGTGCCATATACCTCATCGGCAGGAGAGACTGCTCAAGGAGACGCCCCCCAAAAAGGTTAGGCATGGGACAAAAATACTAAGGCAAGAAGGGAGTTTTCATAATCACTGCTTTGGGTCTGCTCATCAACTTGGGAAAGTCTCAAGTAAACATTACATTCATTTCAGAGCTATAGCTCCTTATAATCCTTTTCCTTATAAAGTACAACATTCAACTCTGGGATCTTGTTTTAGAAATTATTGACACAACATTAACATTACCTGATAATTTTCTTCCACAGTGACAATAACCCACTGACCCATAAGTACTTTATTCCAAAATTTTTCTGGAATTCCCAATTTTTGCCTATTTGTTTGGTGCTAAGGAACCATTTAATTCCTTTGTAAACTACAGAAATATCACAAAGGTTCACGATGCCTGTGGTTCTGAATGTGCTTCCTCAGTCCTTTCTGACTATACATCAGGATCAAACCAGCTGCAGGTTAGGGCAGAGCTAGGGCCACAGGTCTCATCCTAAAGAGGAACTAACTGGGAAAAAAAATTTAAAAATCATGAAAAGTAACAGAAAGCAGGAGGTTCCAATCTCTAGTAAAATTTTTATAATGCCATCTGACCAATTTTCCTTGTAAAGAAAACACAGGTAAAAAAACAAAGCAACAGCTGAAACCATAATTTCAAGAGATTTTCTAAAAACTTATCTGAAAATGTATTCAACTGGGATGTAAGAAATGTTATGAGAAATTCAGGTTCATTTGCTCATTCTTCTCTTTCAATGTATCAATTTCCCCAAAAAATCTGTTTACAAATTCCTGACTGCTTATGAATGTCACTTACCTTAAGCAGTTCATACATATAAAACCGGATATCAAAGTCTGTAAGGATCTGGTATAGTTGCTGAAATAAATTATGGCAAAAAAGAGTCAGTTCAATCATGATGCCCTTTCGCATTCCCCCCAGTGTCTGTTACTTTCTATATCACACCTCTTCAGTGACAAAGTCCGTACAGGATTTACCACCAGGATCCAGAGAGCTTCCAGGGAAAGTTCGGAAACCAATGGCAAAAAACTAATGTATTTCACACTTTTTGAGAAGAGGGAGAGAATTAAAAGTTCAGTTGAGAAAAAAAAAAAAAAGCTACCAGAGGTCATATAGGACCCTGCCTTTCTCTTTCCCACCATCTTTCCTTGCAGAATACAGTGGTAACTTGGGCCCCCCAAAGCAACAGCTCAAACCACAACTTCAAGAGATTTTCTGAAAACCTGTTTAAAATATATCCAGCTGGCCTGTAAGAAATGCTGTACAAAGTTCAGGTTCACCCAGTCTTCAATGTATCAGTTCCCTCAGAAAGACTGTTTAAAAGTTCCTGATCGCTTATGAATGCAGTCTTTCCACAAACACAATGACCATAAGCTGCCCCACAATACAGTATTAAAAACTACACCTGCCACCTAATTCCCCCAGCTACCAAACTAGCCTTAGATGGTACCACAGTTCATTTAAGAACATTCACAACGAGGGGCAGCTAGGTGGCACAGAAGATAGAGCTCTGGCCTTGGACTCAGGAGGACCTGAGTTCAAACCTGGCCTCAGACACTTGATACTTACTACCTGTATGACCCTGGGCAAGTCACTTGGCCCCAACTGCCTCTTCAAAAAGCAAAAAATTAAAAAAAAAAAAAAAGAAGAAGAAGAAGAACATTCACAATGAGTTGCTAAGTTGATGCTCGAGTCTTGAAGACACATCACTGGCTTACTTGGAACTCTGTTAACTAGCTGGTGAAACTGTTTGAAGAAAAGACACAAACTGCAAAGCTGGGGCTGCTTTATGGACCAAGTCACTTAGCCCCAACTGCCTCTTCAAAAAGCAAAAAATTAAAAAAAAGAAGAAGAAGAATATTCACAATGGGTTGCTAAGTTAATACTCGAGTCTTGAGGACACATCACTGGCTTACTTGGAACTCTTGTTAACTAGCTGGTGAAACTGTCTGAAGAAAAGACACAAACTGCAAAGCTGGGGCTGCTTTATGGACTATGAGGCTGGCACTGTAAAGCTGGCAAGGGCCAAGTAAGGCACTTTCCCAAAATTCCTCTTCCCTCCTCCCCAAATCATTCTCTAGAGGAAAAAGGATGCTGAAGTGGCCATAGTTAAGAAGTGAAGGTGAATAAAGCATTTCCAGCAGAAAATGGGTTCAAAGAGGAGCCTTCAGAAAAGATTAAGTAATCACAGGCTAACATAGCATAAAAATGGAAACTTGTATTATTGATGGTCTACCAGACACACCTCTGCCTACAATAGAATCTAGGTTCCCAATGGGAATTTTAGTCACTTAAATGTTGTGAGAGATCAGAGAGGCATTTAAAGTCTCACTCCATTCTAGTCATCACATAACCCAGCCAGAAACACCACTGATATTTCTGCTACCCTGTTACTTATAAAGGGACAATCTCTGAAGGATCAGAGGGGCAGAAAGGGACACATTTTTAGACACAGCTAATGTTGTTTTGCTTCCCTTGATTACACTTAAGCTGCCAGAGGGGTGAGTCTGATTGAAGGGAAGCCTAGTCTGTGCATAACCCAAGTACAAAAGAACACCAGTACTTCATTCAACAATCCAAAGAAAACAAGTCCAGAAGGGGACATGAGGCAATTTTGTTCAATTTAATCTATATTTTTAAAAATGACCTAAGTTCAGTTTCTTATAAATCCTCTTTTTTGCTTTGTAAATTAAAATGTGTTAATGATTAAGTTCATAATAAAGACAAATTTTAAAAAACTGAACTATTTCCTATGTTCTAACTCGCTCAGCCTTAGCATTTTACTTCTCATCCCACAACGTTATCAGCACCTCCACCAACCTTATCCTGCTCCACTCTCCACACAGAAGAAGGCTACGGATTTTAAGAGGTCATTCCAATTATACTAGCAACTATTTTCTCCAAGAATAAAATCTCTATCAAGCTTTAAGATGAGCATTTCTAAATGTCTCCTTTTAAAATAAGGATAGGTTTGGGGCAGGTAGGTGGCGCAGTGGATAATGCACTAGCCCTGCAGTTAGGAGGATCTAAGTTCAAATGCGGCCTCAGTCATATAACACTCACTAGCTGTGTGACTCTGGGCAAGTCACTTAACCCCAATTGCCTGGCTCCCCCCAAAAACAAACAAACAAAAAAACTCCCCAAAACTCAGAAAATAAAAAAAGGATAGGTTTATTTGAAGCTCAGTGAAATAATTTGAAGAACAGTTGCTAACTCCAGACATGTTGGTTTCAACCGAAGGGAACTGAAATTCACTTAAAGTGGAGGTGAGTGACTGAGGAACCTCTTCAGCACTGTAGTTGCGCCTCAACACGGTAGCCAGTATTTATTCCTAACTTGGTACCATACAATGGGATCCCAAGTCATCTCCACCACGGATCTGGGACAAATGCCCTCAGCTTGTCCATGCTAAATGGTGTTAATCTCATTAAACACAAGGCAACACCAAATTTTTTATCCTCCATACAGTATCACTTCTCTAGCACCTCCTATGTGCCAGGCGCTGTACGGAGCTGTGTGTTACCACCTCACTTATCTTCAAAACTCTTTGAGGCAGGTGCTATTTTTAACCTCATTTTACAGTTTAGGAAACTGAGGCAGGGAGAGGTTGGGGTGAGGTGATGCCATACCTAGAAAGTTTTTGAGGCCAGATTTGAACTCAGGTTTTTCCGACTCTAGGTGCAGGCTCTATCCACTGTGCCACCAACTGTGGAAAGCATGTTCTTAAGAGTCAGAAATTCCTTAGCATTCCAAGCTCTCAAGTTCCCTAACTAAGAAACTAAGTTCCCACCCCACTTTGTCTTACTTGAGTCCTACATACTCCAGTCATGTGACATCAGCCCCTTGTGATCCCTTACTCGTGTGTGGTATTCGTCCTGTTTAGCTCGCCCTTCCTTCCCCATCCCACACACCCATTCACCAAGGCCAATCTCCAGTCTCCATTTCCCAGACACCTGCAGCCAGACAGATGTCCTCTCCTTTCACTTCGCCTTCTAAAGTACTCGATGCCTTGCATTACTGATCTGGCACTGATGCTATTCTGACTTTTTCATGTGTATTATGTCAGAGCAGGGAATGGCCTGAGTGCCCCATCACTCTTCCTTGTGTCCCCATGGCCTGCAGCACGGCGCCTTGTACATCTCAGTAGGTTTTCATGACGCTGCTCTTCCTGGTTCTCTTCCAACCTATCTGGCCAATCCTTCTCGGCTGCTCTGGTGGATATGCTGGGCCCTCTAATTTTCTCCCTCTGTACTTGGTGATCTCATCGGCTCCCATGGATTCACTTACCATCTCTACACAGAATGATTCAGATCTATTCATCTAGCCCTAACCTCCAGTCTTGCGACACCAACTGCCCACTGGTTATTTTGAATCATTATGTCCAAAAATGAAGATACTCTCTTTTCCCTCAACCTTTCCCTCTTCCTAACTTTCCTATTACTGTCAAGAGCACCCAGCCCCCAGGATCACAACCTAGGTGTCATCTGCAACTGCTCACTCTCTCCCTATTTGTATTCAATCTGCTGCCAAGACCTCTTGAAGTCCATCTCCACCGCCACTGCCCCTTGCCCCATACCCCTCTACCACCCCCCTGGTGCGGGCCTTCCTCACCTCATTCCTGGACTATTGCAATGGCCTGCCAGTGGGTCTGCCTGTCACATCCAATTCCTCCTCCACTCAGCTGCCAAAAGTGACCTTCCTGAAGCCCAGGTATGACTGTTACCCACCTATTCAATAGCTTTATCAATAGATAATCAATAGATTATCTCCAGGATCAACTGTAAAATCTTCTGGCTTTGAAAGCCCTTCATCAGCTGTCCTGCTCCCACCTTTCCAGTCTTCTTACAGTTTAACCCCCTCCGTGCACTCTGTGATACAGTGACATCGGCTTCCTTGCTGTTCTTTATACAAGATGCTCCCAACTCCATGAATTTTCACTCGCTGCTTTCCATGCCTGGAACTCTCTCCTTCTTCATCTCCACCTCACGTCTTTCCTGACAGCCCCGTTAAAAATCCATCTTTTCCAAGAAGCCTTTCCCAGTTTCCCGAGTCTCTCTGTTTATCATCTCCAACTTATCCTGTCTATACTGCATTAGTACATAAACATTTGCATGTTGTCATCCTCATTAGAATGTAAGCTGCCTGAGAGCAGAGATTACCAACTTTGGCCTTTCTTTGTATCCCCATTGCTTAACACAGTGCCTGACAAAGTATAAGCTTAATGTGTACTGATGACAGTTGATGCTCACTGTTCAGTGGGGCAACAGAAATAATAGCATTCTTATGATTAAGGAAATGGCTCTTTTAGCTCTAAGAAATTCAAATCTAGAACAAATTTTTTTTTGAGGCAATTGGGGTTAAGTGACTTGCCCAGGGTCACACAGCTAGTAAGTGTCAAGCGTTTGGTCTGAGGCCGGATTTGAACTCTGGTCGTCCTGACTTCAGGGCTGGTGTGCCCCTAGAACAACTTTTCATTTGAAATTATAAAACATACTCATTTTAAGAGATAACTGAAGATGTGAATAAAGGTAAAAATACCTACTGTGCTTACTATGATATAACTGAGTAAATATATCTAGGATAGACACAGCAGGTGTACAAATGGGCCCAAAATTGAAAAGAAGGACAGTGGGTTGTATTGCTTTTGGGGAAACTGCACTAGCTGAGCCTTGAAATAAAAGCCCATTTTTTAATATACCACTATTGTGATGCTAGATGACTACAATCCACTGAAAAATGATACCCCGACAATTCCAACTGGCAGTCACCAAAAAGGCAATGGAAAACACACACACACAGTGGGTGTAAGGAGTCAATAGCTTATTACCAAAGATGACTCAATACAAGAAATGGCACAA